TATTGTGCAGAATGATCTTGGCACTCTCTCAGAGGGGCTCAACTTATGTGTCTTTGTTCAAGAACCAAATTTCACAGTTAGATCCTCTTCCCATGACTACAGGCAAAATGGACTTTAGCTCTATTTGTTTTCCTCCCAGACACATTTTTATATCACATTGCTCACAAGAAAGACCAGCCCCAACCACTGGCTCTTTCACACCACTACACCCACCAGGAGATTTGCATATTGTCTCCTGGGGAGAACCTTCCCTTGCAGTCAGATAAAAGCTCAGCTCTAACTTTGCAGTGACCTATCAGAACTGCTCAGTTCACCTTCTCAAGATGAGGTTCCCTGCTCAACTCTTGGGGCTATTAATGCTCTGGGTCCCTGGTAAGAACAGAAGGAAAGGAGGGAGGAGAATACAGTGGGAGGGTGAGCTCTGGGGCCCCACGGTCTCCCACGTTTATTCTGACCCTATGTTAAGAAATATGTTCTAACATCTAGGGAAGGGAATTTATATTTTATCTAATGAATAATTAGAAACCATCTCAAAAAAAAAGTGACCAGTGCTCTAAGATCTTAAAAAATAAAACAATCCTTTGTGCTTATTTTAGTATATTTTATTTTCAAAAGCCTATTATTTATGTTATGAATAAAAATTTTAAAAAAGATTAATCATAAATCAATATGTGAGAATTCATTAATGTTGCTCATAATATTTGTACATAATCTTGCACTTTTTTCTCATTACTTTAGGATCCAGTGGGGATATTGTGATGACCCAGACTCCACTCTCCCTGCCCGTCACCCCTGGAGAGCCGGCCTCCATCTCCTGCAGGTCTAGTCAGAGCCTCCTGGATAGTGATGGAAACACCTATTTGCATTGGTACCTGCAGAAGCCAGGCCAGTCTCCACAGCTTCTAATCTATAAAGTTTCCAACAGGGCCTCTGGGGTCCCAGACAGGTTCAGTGGCAGTGGATCAGGCACAGATTTCACACTGAAAATCAGCAGGGTGGAGGCTGAGGATGTTGGGGTTTATTACTGCATGCAAAGTACACAAATTCCTCCCACAGTGATACAGCCCTTAACAGAAACCTCCTTGTTTGTATGGCCCAGCTGCCCACATGTACTAAGTGTCTGGAGAGCAGTTCAGCAGGGTCTCTGAGTCTGCAGAAGCAGAAGCTATTGGAGAATTCAGGGTAGAGTTTGCTGCTGAGGCCTCTGGTCCATGAGAGCCTCTGCTGTGCCTCAGTCTCACATGCTAGTGCTCCTTCAGCTTTCACAGCCTGAGGATGGCATCAGCAGTAGAAGTATTCAGATGGTTCAAGTGCCCAGCTATGATGAAAAGAGAGTAAATGAAAGCTCATCCTCACCCTCCCTGTCTTGCCTATATTGTCAAGTACATTTAGTCGGCAGAACAGCACCAGACCGTGGAAGCAAATGAGCGGTAACTCAAGTGGAATACGTGTTGGAAATAAACAGTTTAAAGTTGAGTTTATTCAAATTTACACTTGGTAATATGGGAAAATTATTATTTTCTCACTTTCCATATTACTCTTTTATCACTTAACCAAACTGCCCTTTTCATTAACATATTTGAGAATGCATTCTATGCAAGCTGTCCTCAGGGGATTATGGCTAAGAATAATCAGTAAATATGTTTGATTGACTATTTATAGAGTTTCTAAATGCATTCCATACATGAAGTCCTAATGCCAAACATCTCTAATTTGATTCAATTACCTTTTGCCCAGTGAAAAGGAAGCTCTTGCAATTCCAAAAGTAAGCTCTTAAATAAAGAGCATAAACTGAAAGATGGAGAAGGTAAAGTTTACTTCATATACTACAGGAGAAATACAGAATTAATACTATACAATATGTCAGTACTAAGGCTGCTATTGTATTTCCCTGATGTGAGAATCTCAGGCCTGTCATGTTATTCAATTTCTGAGAAGCCTTTTCTTTTAAGTGTGGCCACTCGTGACTTGCAGGAGTATCTGGAACAATCTACAGTAGAGAACCTACTCAAAATTACATTTAAAAAGAAAAAGGTGACTGTTTTTGATGATGGCTGACTAGAGGTAGCCAAGAAGAGCTGCTCCCACTAAGAGAAACCAGGACATCAATTAGAACGGTATACTCCAGACAGATCTTTGGGAAGAAGACTTTTGAAGCAGAAACAGGAAGCACCAGGAACAGGGAGGACACATACTGGGCAGGAAGGGGAGGAAGGTGGAAACCCTGTGTGGGGTTGCTGAATACCAAGACTCCTTCCTGGCCCTGAGTGGCCCCTAGAGAAGGGGTGAGTGAAATAGGCATGGAGCATCCCACACTTGCTATAGACCTCCAGAATCCTAGCTCTGGAAAACCCCATGACCCCCAAGACATTTGAGTTGGCACATAGAACTGCCATAGACTGGACAGAGACAGAACTTTAGTCCTGCATAGATCCCAGAGGGTTTGGAGTGGGAGAGGCTGCAGTGGAGCATGGCCATGGACACCATCCCCCAAGGCTCACCTTATTCTTCTAGGTGGCTTTAGCCTTTGTGAGCTGCTGGAAGTGGAGACAACAAGGCTGTCTGCCTGAAGAAGGGGCCGGTCTGATCTGAGAGCCCCTCTGTCTCCCAGGGTCCACCTCTGCCAGCACCTGCTTACGTGTAGCCTCAGTTGTCCCACCAAAATACTTGCCAGTAGCCACCACCATCACTCTTTGCCAGCAGCTCCTGCTTTCTCACTGGAGTACTTTTGCAGATGGACCTCTACTGGTGCGTATCCACCCACAGCCTTCTCCCACCTGAATACAGTTGCCCTCAGCCTACCCTAACCACCATCCTGGCAGGCATGCATGATTGGATTTCCAATGCCTGGTTGGTGTGCACTTGTACATGGCCTCCTACCACTGCACAGCGGAGGAACACTCACCCTTGACCCCACCACAGCACACTTGTTGGCAGCCCACTTGATACCTTGCCACAGCACTTTTACCAGCAGCCCCTATTGGAGTGTTGTTGCCAACAGACTGAGAACATCTCAGACGTTCAACACAGCAGGTGCTTTACCCCAAGGAGCCAGAGAAGAAAGCTGTGGTCCTGGTCAGCCTTCTAGGGTAGAGCGCACAGCACAGGAGTGCTGAGCTGAGCCTTGTCTCCCTGAAAGCATCTAGAAATGTGGCCAATCAACTAAATCCATTATACCTAAAGCAAATCTCAAGAACATAAAAGAATACAAAAGCAAAAAGCCCCATCCAGTGACAGAAACTTCAAAGTTTAAAGAAAGGTCAGCCCACACAGATGAGAAAGAACAGTGTGAGAATACTGGCAGCTCCAAAAGCCAGAATGTCTTCTTATTTCCAAACAGCTGCACTAGCTCCCCAGCAATGGTTCTTAACCTGATTGGAATGGCTGAAATGACAGACATAGAAGTCATAATCTTGATAGTAAGGAAACTCAATAAGATACAAGAGAAGATTAAAGTTCAATCCAAGGAAAGCAGTATAATAAAGCAAGAGTTTAAAGATGACATAGCCATATTAGGAAGAACCAAAATTAACTTCTGGAAATAAAAAATGTATTACAGAAATTTATAATGCAATTGGAAGCATTAATGATAGAATAGACCAAACTGAGGAAGGAATCTCTGTGCTCAAAGATTTCACCTTTGAATCAATGAGAGACAAAAAAATGAAAAATAAAAAATAAAAACTGAAGAAAACCTCTGAGAAGTATAGAGTTATGCATACAGACCAACTCTATGGCTCATTGGCATTCCTTAAAGAGATGAAGAGAGAACAAATAATTTGGAGAACATATTTGACAATATTGTCCACAAAAATTTCCTCAGTCTCACCAAAGAGGTTGACATGCAAATGCAGGAAATACAGAGAACCCCTGTGAGATAGTATAAAAGATGACTATCTGCAAGACTGATCATCATTAGATTCTCCAAAATCAATGCAATAGAAAAAATTATAAAAGCAACTAGAAAGAAATGTAGGCAACATACAAAGAGAACTTCATCAACCTAACAGTGGACCTTTCAGCAGAAACCTTCAGCCAGAAGATATAGAAGCATATATAAAGCATCCTTAAAGAAAAGAAATTCAAATTAAAAATTTCACATTCAGCCAAACTAAACTTTATAAACGAAGGTGGAAAAAAGATCCTTTTTATGTAAGTAAATGCTTAGGTATGTTAACACCAGACATGCTTTACAAGAGGCTTTTAAGGGAATGCTAAATATGCAAATAAAAGACCAATACCTGCCACCACAAAAACACACTTAAGTATATAGAACACAGACACTATAAAGTAACTATACAATCAGATCTACAAAGCAACCATCTAACAACATAATGACAGGATGAAACCTTCGCATATCAGTATTTACCTTTAATGGAAATGGGCTAAATGCCCCACTTAAAAGACACAGAATAGAAGACTAGATTGAATAAAGAAGCAAGACCCAACTGTTTGCTGTCTTTAAGAGACCCATCTTACATGCAATGACACTCACATGCTCAAAGTAATAGGCTGAAGAAATATTTACCAAGCAAGTGGAACATGAAATACAGCAGTGGTTGCAATTCTTATTTCAGACAAAACAGACATTAAACCAACAGTGATGAAACGGAACAAAAAGGGCATTACATAATGATAAAGAGTTTAATTCAATAAGAATACTTAACTACCCTAAATATATAGGCACCCAACATTGGAGAAACCTGATTCATAAAACAAGTTTTTAGAGTCCTATGAAGAAACTTAGATAACAACATAAGCGGGAGTCTTCAACATGCCACTGACAGTATTAAGCCATCAAGCCTGAAAATTAAGAAAGATATTCAGGACATAAACTGAACGCTTGACCCAATGTACCTAACAGACATCTACAGAATACTCCACTCAACAACAAAGGATGTACAGTTCTTTTCATCTGCACATAGCACATACTCTAACATCAATCACACACTCAACCATAAAGCAATTCTTAACAAATTCAGAAAACCTCAGAGTCATACCATCTACTCTCTCAGACCACAGCACAATAAAAATAGAAATCAATATAAAGAAGATCTCTCAAAAAAAAAACAACCACATGAAAATTATGCTTCTGAATGACTTTTGGGTAAAGAATGTAATGAAGGCAATTTTTAAAAATGTGAAATAAATAAAAACAAAACAAAACACATCAGAATCTCTTGGACACAGCTACAGCAGGGCTAATAAGAACAGTTTATAGTATTAAACACTTACATCAAGTAGTTAGAAAAATCTCAGCTTAAGAACCTAACAGCACACCTAGAGGAACTAGAAAAACAACAGCAAGCCAAACCCAAAGCTAACAGAAAAAAAAAAAAAGTCAGATCTAAACTGAATGAAATTGAGACATAAAAATCCATATAAAAGATCAGCAAAACCAAATATTGGCTCTTTGAAAAAATAAGCAAAATTGATGAATTGTTAGCTAGATTAGTTAAGAAAAAAAGAGAAGACCCAAGTAAACGCAATCCGAAATGACAAAGTTGACATTACCACTGACCCCACAGAAATCCAAGAAACTCTCATACTCTATTATGAACACCTCTATGCACAAAAACTAGAAAACCTAGAAGAAACAGATGAATTCCTGGAAACATACAACCCTTCAAGATTGAACTAGGAAGAAACTGAAATACTAAAAAAACCAATAATGAGTTCAGAAACTGAATAAGTAATACACAAAACAAAACAAAAAAGAACTATCAACCAGAAAAAGCCCTGGAACAGACAAATTCATGGCCAAATTTTATGAGACATACAAAAAAGATCTGATACCAATCCTACTGAAATTATTTCAAATACCAAGAAGCAGAAACTCCTCCTTAATTCATTGTATCAGGCTGGCATCATTGCGATAGAAAATCATGGCAGAAACACAATGGGAAAATAAAACTTTGGGCCAATATCCCTGATGAACATAGATGCAAAAACCCTCAACAAAATAGTAACAAACCAAATTTTGCAGCATAAGAGAAAGCTAATCCATCATGAACAAGGAGGCTTTATCCCTTGGACACAAGTTTGGTTTAACATTCACAAATCTATAACTGTGATTCATTATATAAACAGAACTAGAAACAAAAACCACATGATCATCTCAAAAGATGTAGAAAAGGCTTTCCACAAAATTCAACAACACTTCATGCTAAAAACCCTAAATAAATTAGGCATTAAAGGAATAAACCTCAAAATAATAAGAGCCATTTATCACAAACCCACAGCCAACATTATACTGAATATGGAAAAGCTGTAAGCATTCCCCTTGAGAATCAGAACAAGACTAGCATGCCCACTTTCACCACTACAATTGATATAGTACTGCAAGTCTTATGCAAAACAATCAAGAAGAGAAATAAATAAAATGCATCCAAATAGGAAGAGAAAAAGTCAAACTATCTTTGCAGACGATATGATTCTATATCTAGAAAAACCTATAGTTTCTGCAAACTGGAACTAAGACTCCTGGAACTAGTACACAACTTAAGTAAAGTTACAACTTAAGTAAAGTTTCAGGGTATAGAACAAATGTATAAAAATTAGTAGCATTTCTATACATCAATAACATTGAAACTAAGAGCCAAATCAAGAAATCAATTCCATATACGATAGCCACAGAAAATTTTTTTTAAAAAAACTAGGAATTAAGCCAATCAGATGAAAGGTCTCTACAAGAAGAATTGCAATACACTACTAAAAGAAATCAGAGATTTCACAAACAAATAAATAAACGTTCCGTGGTTAAGGATAGCAAGCATCCATATTGTTAAAATGGCCATACCACCCAGAGCAATTAGACACAATGCTATTCCTATCAAACTACCAATCACATTTTTAACAAAATTACAAAAAAAGTATTATAAAATTCATGTGGAACTATAAAAGAGCCCAAATAACCAAAGAAATCCTAAACAAAATTGGACAAAGCTGGAGGCATTGCACTACCTGACTTCAAACTATACTATAAAGCCATCATAAGCAAGACAGCATGGTACTGGTACAAAAACAGACACATAGACCAGTGGAACAGATTAGAGAATGCAGAAATAAAGCCACATAAGTACAACCATCTGATCTTTGATAAAGTTGACAAAAACAAGCAATAGGGAAAGAAATACCTATTTAATAAATGATGCTGAGATAGCTGGCTAGCTATATGCAGAAGTCTGAAACTGCATCCATTCCTTTCACCATATAAAAAAAAATCAACTCAAAACAGGTTAAAGACTTAAATGTGAAAACTAAGACTATGAAAACCCTAGAAGAAAACCTAGGAAGTACCATTCTAGACATAGGACCTGGCAAATATTTCATGACAAAGACATCAAAAGCAACAATACAAAAATTGACAAAAGGAACTTAATTAAAGAGTGTCTGAGCAATCAAATAAGCTATCAACAGAGTAAACAGACAATCTACAAAATGGGAGAAAATATTCACTAAGTATACATCTGACAAAGGTCTGATATCCATAATTTATAAGAAACTTTAAAAAATCACCAAGTAAAGAAACCAACAACCCTACTAAAAATTTGTCAAAAGACATGAAAACACACTTCTCAAAGAAGACATATATGTGGATTTCAAGCATATAAAAAATGTTAAGCATAATTAGTCATCACAGAAATGCAAATCAAAACCACAGTAAGATACCATATCACACTATACAGAATGGCTGCTATTAAAACGTCAAAAATAACCAATGTTGGTGAGAGTGCAGAAAAAGAGAATGCTATACACTGCAGGTGGAAATGTCAATTAGTTCAGCCACTGTGGAAAGGAGTTCAGAGATTTCTCCAAGAAGTTTCTTAAAACAGCCACCATTCAACCCAGCAATCCAATTACTAGGAATATAGCCAAAAATATATATAAATTCCTCCACCAAAAAAGATACATGCACTTGTATGTTCATTGCAGTGCTATTCACTATAGCAAAGACATGGAATAAACCTAGATGCCCATAAACAATGGATTGAATAAGAAAATGTGGCACACTACCATAAAAAATATGAAATAACATCCTTTGCATCAATATGTATGAAACTGGAGGCCATTATTCTAAGCAAATTAACACAGGAACATAAAAGCAAATTCCACATGTTGTCACTTACAAGTGGGAGCTAAACATTGAGTATACATGAATGTGAAGATGGGAACAATAAATACTTGGGTCTACTTGAAGAGGGACGGTAGCAGGTGGATGAGGGTCAAAAAATTACTTATTGGGTACTATGTTTACTATATGGGTGATGAAATCATTTGTAAACCAAACCTCAGTGACACTCAATTTATCCATGTAACAATCCTGCACATGTACTCCCTGAAACTAGATTAAAAGTTGAGAAAAGTTAAAAAAAAAAAAAAAGAGAAATGCAGAATTATATGAAAGATATCTTTCTCTCACAAATTTTAAGAATTTTAAAAGTATTTAAGTAGAATTTTAGAGATGACAAATTTTGTTCTGTTTTCATAGCAAAAGATTTCATACAATACAAAAACACATTATTTTTACAGAAACCATCATTTCCTCAAAATGAATATGAATCCTATTATATTTTAGTTATTAATACACAGAAAATTTATGCATTTCATAGATTTCACTTAAATGGTGCTTTAAAATTATATCACACCTAATAGTGAGTCACATCTGTTACATGTCATAACAATATGTGATAGACACAAAGAGGGATTGAAGCAACAGAAAAAGAAGTTGTTGCTTCAGGCTAATGGTATAAAATATACTTTAGATGATTATATATTCCAAGATAATGGATTCCATGGATAGTGTAACTTAAATTCCAATGTGCCATTTCTGTTAAGTTTAAAAGATGTGTGGCAAAATTTACATAGAAATCAAGCAGACCAGAGCCCTGAAATTAAGAAACATAACACACTCAGTGTTTTATTTAAAAAACTAATACATGCATCATGGAACTTAAATGTTATTACAGAATGCAGGGAGAGAAAAGAGATTGTAAGTAGCAAGAGCAGGAGCTAAGCAATGATGCAGTCATCTTTAGCTCTCGTGTGATTGACAGCATCTATGTGATTGATATTGACCTTGAGTTTCTGAGTTAATGTGAGTCAGGCATAAGGCCTAAACCCACTCAAGGTGGTGAGATATTATAATAATATGTTTTAAAAACAGACAAAAATACAAATACAACCTACATATTTCTGACATTTCAAGGGGCTATGGTATCAAAACAAAATGTTGAAAAATAAGTGATTCCAAAAGCTGAAAGGGGATTGAAGGGGAACCAAAGGATAATGAAATTGGCTGTTACAAAGAATCTTCAACATATGGTAGACCAAATGTGACAAAGTTTTTCTGTCTGTGCCATGACATCGCAGAGGCAGGTGGGTGGCCTTGGTGGTGTTGGTAGCTGTGCTCCATGAGGTCACTCAGTTGGGCATGAGGCACGGCCACCCTCAGCACACAACTTCCCACCTTCCTCACAGTCACTGGCCCCATGCTCATTCCTCAGCAGCATGAGCTGGAAAAGAGTGAAAACTGTTTTCTCCTTAAAGATTAGACAAAACTTATGCTTTTCATTAGTGACAAATATTATTTTGCCTCAAGCACACAATTGAGAAATTTTCCACTTAGTGGATCTGCTGGTAAACACATATTTGTTTGTTTGTTTGTTTTAATCTGAAAATGTATTTACATGATTCCTGAAAATAATTATTTGACCATCAAATTATATTTGTGACAGCCTAGTTGAAGTTGCTACTTACCATTTGATAATTACTGCTAAAAAGTTTTTTGTTAAAAAAAAAAAGAAATCAGTGCTCTATGATTCTAACTCTTCTTTGAAAGAAATATGTCTTTTTATTCTCTCATTCATCTTTTAAGGTCTTCAATTGGCCTTATTTTTATACAATTTAATGTATTAAGTTTTATTTATTATTTATGATACATTTGTTTATTTATTTTCATTATCACAAAATTAAACATCTTATAGTTTGCTGTGTTGAAGCATGGCACTAGCTGGCAAAAAAGTTCCACAAAAAAGCCAGCATCATGACTTTAGAAATACTAGAATGTAAGGGTGACAGTGTCCTATTGTCAACAGGGAGCCTCCAAGGTTGGAATGGGGTCTCGTGTGTGACTTGGAGCACCTGAGGGGAGCTGTCAGCATGCTGAGTTGTGAGGAAACCCACTCTGTTTTCTGTGCTCTGAGACTAGAAGCAGGGCTTTGCCCCCTCACTGCCTTGGCTGTGTCTATCTGCTATGAACTGAATTGTGTTCCCAAGTTCATATTGTAGCTTTAATCCCCAGTGTGGCTGTAGGAAGCAGCTGAGGTTATAAAAAGGCAATCGAAGTTAAATGAGGCCATAAGGATGGGGTCCTAATCCAGTAGGATTAGTGTTCTTATAAGAACAGAACCCATCTCACTCCAGTTAGAATGGTGATCATTAAAAATTTCTGGAGACAACAGATGCTGGAGAGGATGTGGAGAAATAGGAACGCTTTTACACTGTTGGTGGGAGTGCAAATTAGTGTAATGACATGGCACAGACAGTGTGGTGATTCCTCAAGGATCTATAAATAGAAATACCATTTGATCCAGCAATCCCATTACTAGGTATATACCCAAAGGATTATAAATTGTTCTATTATACAGACACATCTACAGGTATGTACATTGTGGCACTGTTTGCAATGCAAAGACTTGGAACCAATCCTAATGCCCATCAAGGATAGACTGGATAAAGAAAATGTGGCACATATATACCATAGAATACTATGCAGCCATGAAAAAGGATGAATTCATGTCCTTTGCAGGGACATGGATGAATCTGGAAACCATCACTCTCAGCAAACTGACACAAGAACAGAAAACCAAGCACTGCATGTTCTTACTCATAAATGAATGTTGAACAACGAGAACACATGAATACAGGGAGGAGAACATCACACACTGGGGTCTGTTGGGGGTTGGAGGGCTAGGGGAGCAATAGAAGGGGGTGGGGAGGTTGGGGAGAGATAACATTAGGAGAAATACCTAATGTAGGTGATGGGGGGATGGAGGCAGCAAACCACCATGGCATGTGTATGCCTATGTAACAATCCTGCAAGATCTGCACAGGTACTCCAGAATTTAAAGTATAATTTTTTAAAAAAAGCAAGTAATTTAATAAAACAAACTTAATTAAAAAAAAAAAAAGAACAGAACCAGAGAACTCTTCCTTTTTTTTTTTTTTTTTTTTTCTTTCTCTCTAAGCTTCACCCTGCTCCACTTGCCTGTCTATGGAAATGCCATGTGAGAAAGCATGGTGAAATGGTACCATCTGCAAACCAGAAAGAAGGTCCTTACCAGAAAGTGACCTTGATCTTGGAGTTTTGGGTCACTGGAAATGTGAACATGAATGTCTGTGGTTTAAGCTGTTCTGCCCAGAGTATTTGGTATGGCAGTGCAAGAATACTAGTCTGTTGTCCCCATCTTGTCTTAGCAAGATCAGCCTCAGGAGGCCCTTGCCGACACGGGACCCAGCTTTGCTTGCCTTCCTCTTGCTGTTCAGACTCTTTTTTGAAGAGGGAGGACTCAGGCTTCACCCTCAGGTTGTTAGGATTGAACAGTAATGCTTCTGTGAAGATGAGGTTGTTAGCCTCTTTTGTTTTCTGAAAGAATTACATCAAACTGAATTAACGACTTGTTTGGTATTAATATGGTGAGACATTCACATTTGTTCCCAATTTAGATGCCACTGGGGACATTTGTGTACCTTGTCTCCAGCCTCCTCAGTGTTTCTCAGTAGAGAGGGTCACTGTCACCTACAGGGCCAGCCATAGTATTAACTGTGTCCTAGTCTACCACCAGCAGACATGAGACTCAGCCGTGAGCTCTTGCTGGCTCATGCTGCTTCTTGGACAGAATATATTCCTGGGTCAGGGGCAGAGAGTTCAGACAGATGTCACTCTGGCCATCAGCAGCCGAGCTGCCTTCATGGCACCCCATTGTGAACTGAGTCTCAGCAGCACTTGAGCGATGAAAGCTGGGCAGAGAGATCCCACATCACTCCAGTCAGAGGGGAGGCTGCTAATGGACCATGGGGTGGATTTGTCCTGTGGCCCTGTAGCCACTGAGCCACGTGTGCTGCCCTGTCTGACAGAGGTCATTGCGGGAGTAACTCTCCAACCTGGGGATGAAGCATTCTTCCAAGTGGGGTCCAGACTCCCTAACCATCTCCTCTGTACTGGCTGCTGTGTGTTCCCCAGATCCCCTGCTGAATGTCCTCATCAATGGGTGGGTCACTGCTCTGACCGGTATGAACATAGAGATGAGTCCTGTGCTTCCTGACCCTCGGGTTCTGTATGGGGAAAGGGGGCATGAGGTGGTGCACATATTGGTGCTTTTTAAATAGTCATGCTCAATTCATCCAATTTAAAATCATACATTATATCAGCAAAATTATATCAATTTCTATATAAATATACATATTATTTTGATTTATATTACAGATACATAGCATATACACATATAGCAATATAATTGATATCCATATTTGTATTTAACAAAGTTTGCATAATACATACATATGTATTACTCATTTAACAAGTACTCCTTTTATTTCCAAGAAGGACAGAGTCTGGCTGAGTAAAGACTCTGGGGACATTTGCTGACCATTCCATTTTTGCTCTAGCAGGATCCTCTGCCAATCAGGACCTATGAGGACAGAGATGAGTATAACTGGCCCTGGGAGCCCAAGCTTAGCCTTAAGGCCCTGGTCTTTGAGACTTTTACTGTGGTTGTGGGCTCTGGGCCTTGTGCAGTATCTGTAGATGTGTGAGCATTTTTCTTCCATGAAGCCCCTGCAGGCAGACCTTTGAGCAGGGCCTGTGGTTCTTCCTGGGTCTTCAGCCCCATGGTCCAGGAGAGCAGCTGCTTCTTTCATAGCCCAGGACCAGAACCAGGTAGCTCTTGGGCAATGCAAGCTTGACCTTAGTCCTGGCTTGAGGACACTATTCTAAATATCTTTTCTCTGATTTCTGTACCTGAATGCCGTCCCTGGCCCTAAATGCACAGGACACATTTCCACAACTGTGAAATCTAACATTGTCATCTGGAAGATGAGAAATCTGATTTTCTTGTCATCCTCAGAGCCTGGCTTGTTCCAGTCCCCACCAGGTATAAAAGCCCTTGTGGTCTCTCCTCCCCCTATAATTTAAGTTAGACACATAGTGAAATTTAAATGTGGCAAAGTCACTGGCCCTTACATAGCAGCATTTCCTTCTCCTTTGATGTGTAGGACACCAGCTCTGTTCTGTTGTGTAAGAAAAGGACAGTGAGTTTCTCCCATCATAGGACAAGACCAGGGATTAAGGGCACATGGGATCACCCCCACAATGAGATTTAAGGAGAGTAAAGAGTGGGCAGGGCTTCTTAGATTATGACATCTCATAAAGGGAGTAAGGTGAAGAGCATTTTTTTTCCCTGCAACAGATAGGAATGGACATAACTCTTAGCGTCACTGCAGCCATTTTGAGATCATGAGATATTAAGCCCAAGACTGAAAATCTAAAGTGATAAAAGTGCAAACTAGAAATGCGGAAAGAACTTGGATACATCAATGCTAAAAGCTCCAACTTTTGGATATCTTATCTTTGCTTAAGCCATTGCTGTAATTTCTTTGAATTTCTTCTAAAATTATTTTAATTTATCCAGAAAGGATACTTAAGGGAAAGAGCCTGGATTGGCCGTAGACTTCATCTTTAGGAAAAGAAACGTACTATCGTATGTGTGTGTGTGTTTGTGGGAGTCTGAGGCATGAAAGGCAGGAGCCACAATAAGCAATGGGCTTCCCTGACATCTTGATTCTGCTGTGTCCATGGCTAGAGAAACCCAAAGGACTTGGAAGAGTTAACAAATTCTGCCCTATCTCCATTTCTCTTTTAATGTCCTAAGCATAAAACAGCCCCTTGTGCTTCTTAATTCTTTCCTCCTCCAAGATAGTAAAAACAGAATTGTGGTTAAGAAACAGACACAACAGATACAACATTTGGAGAAGACACAGTGTCTGGAGTTTGTATACATCTCAATACCAAAGTGGTGTTGCAAGTTTCCCCTCCTTCTTGGTGTTTTTGTTTTGCTTGTTCATATATTTATTTTTCATAAATAATAACTGTATCAAGATATTCAAAACTTAGAATCTTTGATATATTCAGGACTGATGCATGAGTTTCATTTTTTTAAATGTCAATAATTATAATACAAAAAAGCATTTGCTTAATTTAGATTAAAATTAATTTGTCAAAAATATCTGGTGAGGTACATCAATTTTAAAACTTGGGAGGCCTGTAGGTAGCAATATTTTGAAGCCCTAAGGACTCCACTTGGCTAAAGGTAAAATGATATGCTCTGTTAATTCTTTAGTGTGTTTATATCTTGTTTGTTCTGGAAATAGCTCCCAGACCCAAAGTAAAGAGGCTCCACTGAGACCAGACATTTGAACATGGCCCGCCCTTAATCTCTGACATTTTTATAGCAGCTAGAGCCATCCCATAAGAGGGTCATGCAGGCCAGGTTAGTGATATCTTTTTGTCCTCAAAATGGACACTGGAGATACTTGAAGGCAGCCTGAAAATGTTGAGTGCTTGTGGGTGCCATTGTCACTCCAGAAATGGGCAGAATTCCTCTTTCCACTCAAAATGACTTTGGCCCGTGAGGCCACCAAACTAGAATCAAGCTGAGCTCTGGATTTTTAGTTTAATTAGGTCCCACTGTCCAGGAGGAAGAACTGCTTGTTCAGGAGCTTTTGAGGGCTCAAGACTTGTCTCTTTCAACACATGCACACCTGAACCAACTCAACCTGGTTGTCCTCACTACCCTGTGTTCCACATCAGGAACACAGCCCTGGGCCAGAGCCAGGGGGCTCAGAAAAGGGGCATCTTCCCAGTCCTTACCAACCAGCAGGACTATCTGTGGGATATTTCCTTCTTTCCTGTACTGAGAGAATTTCTGACACCAGGAAAGAGCACCAGCCATTCTAGGTAGTGATCCAATTTTGTAATCAAACCATTTGGATGTAAAGCTCAGAATCACCAGTTTCTCCTTTCAGATAGCTCTCAGATCTCTGGATTCTTCCCAGGATCCAAAGAAGGAAGCCTTTCAGTGAATGCTTCTCTGTAGTATTTTCTCCAGATGCAATAGGCAAGTTTGAGACAGTCCTGTTTTCCAATGGAGAAGTGAAGTTCCCTTCAGCCAGAGATAGATTCTTCCACTGGTCCTTTTACTTTTTTATTTTATTTTATTTTATTTTATTTAGGTCTCTATGGCAATGCAAGAAACGGGACATGCAAAACATAAAGAGACTCTAGAAGAAATAATATTACTTTGTTGTACTTTGAGTTAATGAAAAAGTCTCTTTAGAAAAATGAGAACAATTTCCTTTAATTTTAAACATATACACTACTGTCAACAAATTGCTTTTTTTTTTTTTTTAAATTACACTTTTATTTTAGGTGTCAGGGAGTGCCTGTGCAGTTTTGTTATGTGGGTATATTGCATGATGCTAAGATTTGGGATGAAAATTATCCCTTCACCCAGGAAGTAAGCACAGTAGACAACAAGTAGCAATACTTACCCGCTCCTTCCCTCCCTCCCCCTGTAGTATTCCTCAATGTCTGTTGCTCCCATCTCTATATGTACTCAGTGTTTCACTCTACTTGTAAGTGAGAACATGCAGTATTCCCTGTATTACTTCACTTTAGAGAATGGCCTCCAACTGTATCCATGTTGCTACAAAGGATATATTTCATTATTGTTATGACTGTGTAGTAATCCATGGTATATACATACTGTATTGTTTATCCACGCCACAATTTATGGGCATCTAGGTCAATTCCATGTCTTTGCTATTATGAATAGTACTGCAATAAACCTACAAGTGCATGTGTCTTTTTGATAGAAGAATTTGTTTTTTGTGGGGGAGTATATACCTTGTAATAGGATTACTGGATTGAATGATAATTCTGTTTTAAGTTATTTGAGAAGTATCCAAACTGACTTCCACAGTGGCTGAACTAATTTACATTTATACCAACAGTTTATAAGTGTTCCTTTTTCTCCACAACCTTGCCAGCATCTGTTTTTTGTTTGTTTGTTTGTTTTTTGACTTTATAGTCATAGCCATTCTTACTGATGTGAGACAGTATCTCATAGTGGTTTTGATTGACATTTCTCTAATGATTAGTGATGCTGAGCACTTTTTGATATGTTTGTTGGCTGCTTGTCTGTTTTTTGAGAAGTATCTGTTCATTTTCTTTGCCCACTTTTTAAAGGGCTTATTTATTTTTTGCTTGTTATTGTTTAAGTTTTTTTAAAGAGTCTAGCTAATAGATTTTTGCAGGATGTGTAGTTTTTAAATATTTCTTTTTCACTTCGTTTACTCTGCTGATAGGTTCTTTTTTTCTTTTATCCTTATTATTATTATTATTATTATTATTATTTTGCTGTGCAGAAGCAGTTCTTTAGTTTAATTAGGTCCCATTTGTCTTTTTATTTTTTATTTATTTTTAAGTTGCAATTGTGACCCGACCTTTTTCTCTAGGTGCCTTTAAGATTTTTTTCATTAGCATTGACCTTGAACAGTCTCGTGACTATATGTCTTGATGATATTCATTTTGTATAGTAACTGGCAGGTATTGGAATTTCTTATATCTGGATATCTACCTCTCTAGCAAGATTAGGAAAATTTTCTTGAATTATCATTATTATTATTGTTGTTGGGATGCAGTCTTCATCTGTCACCCAGGCTGGAGTGCAGTGGCCCAATCTCGGCTCACTGCCACCTCTGCCTCCTGGGTTCAAGCGAATCTTGTGCCTCAGCCTCCCAAGTAGCTGGAATTATACGCATGCATCACCACACCCAGCTAATTTTTGTATTTTTCGTAAATACGGGGTTTCACCACGTTGTCCAGGCTGGTCTTGAACTTCTGACATCAGGTGATTCACCCTCCTCAGCCTCCCAAAGTGTAAAGTGCAGTGCATTTAGTCCCTAAATATTAAAGAGATCTACAGCTTTGGATATTGGCATATCTGTGAGTGATGCTTGCATTTAGGAATCATGGTATCATCTTTGTGCACTGAAAGTGAATTGCTTGACGTTAAGCTGGTACCCACATAAGATTATATCAGTAGCACTTTAGTATATTGAAAAGTACAATATACTAAATTGCTACTGATAAAATCTTTCATTTTGAAAAAAAAAAGCAATTTCACGTGGACAGAAATGTTACTACAGCACAGAGGATTTTTATATCTACTGAATCTAGTTAAGAGTAATGTGAAAACCTGATACTGCCACCCTCTAAGACTTTATTATGCATTCCCTACAAACAATGACACTTTCCTACGTACTTCCAATACAATAAAAAATACATTATTTAATCTAGACCTTATATTCATTTTAAATTTTGGCAATTGCCTCAAAAATCTCTTTTGTAACTATAGGGCCTCTAGAGAGAAATACTTTCCCTCCACACAAGTCTGTGCTGCCCTGGTCTGACCCGGGACCCTGGGGACACTGCCCCTGAGCTGAGTTACTGAGATGAAGGAGCCCTGCAGCTGTGCCCAGCCCGCCCCCTCCCCTGCTGATTTGCATGTTCCCAGAGCACAGCCCTCAGCCCTGAAGACTTCTTAATAGGCCGGTCACACCCTGTGCAGGAGTCAGGCCCAGTCAGGACACAGCATGGACATGAGGG